TTAGAAACTTTTTCTATTCCTTGAGACTTTCCACTTTTTCTTACACTCCCCTTACTGTGAACAAACAATGACATTTCCAGAAAATCTTGCGTGACTTTTTTACCTTTGCTTGAAGTAGATTCCTTGGTTGAGGCTTGCCTAAGAGGTGCTAAAACTGAGAGAACATTTTCTATGTCGTTTGTTTTTTTCTTTTATTTGCACAGCAATAATTAACTGGGCACTCCTCCTGACTGATATTTGCCTTTCTCCTTTATCCAAGGAGTCTTGCAAATGTTCATACCAAAGCACCACTCAAAAGTAAGCATGAAGCATTGCAAATTCAATATAAGGGCTAAGTTAACTTTGACCAAAATCTTACATATGCATATTTTGTCATAATATGAACGTCATACATTTTTTTGCATGTTGTCTCAAAAACTCAGGAAAATACATAGTAGAAATAAATGAAGCATAGTGTTTGAAAATGTTTTATACCACTGTCAAAAACCAAGAGGCTTTCAGTATCTGAAAATACTAACACTGTGACAACTTCGATTTTTGTTCAACACAGCCTGGAAACACCTTTCTGGAGTCTCAGGCTTTGGGAGATCTGCCACCTGTTGGGAACATCGAAATTTCAGTTGTGACTGATGAAAGTTAAAGTGGAAGATGGTGGGTAGCCCACTGCTGACAGGCATCCCCAACCCCTTTGTACCATAATATCTCCTTTAGCTGAAGGTTAGAAATCATGTCACTGTCCCGTAGCTTCATTTTCCCTACACCTGCTTTAACACGGCACTGGGAATTTCTTTCTCAAAGACATTTTCATGAGTTTTCCACCTGCATCCCAAGCCTTCAGTTTCCACGATGGAAGTCACCTTGTAAAATGAAGACAGTCCTTTTACTCCGCGCTTCTGTCATTAGCTCACAGTGTAACACTAAATGATTCTCCTTCCATGTGACTCTTCTCTCCCCAGCCTTCCGTCTGAGAAAACTTCAAAGAGTGATCCAGCACCTCAACCCACACGTATCTTCACAGCATCTGGATCCAGACCCAAACCCGGCATCACTAAAACCCAAATCTGCCATTCTACCCACAATTCTGCAAGAATGGTCAGGACTTGGATTCAGGCAAGACCCGCCCTTTTATGACGTCAATGTGCAGAAGCACAGCTGCGTGGGTCACCTGGGTGCACCTGCCACATAGGATTGCTTGAAGAGAGGAAGAGAAGGAGGAGGAGGAGGAGAAAGAAGGGGTTGAGGTATTGACAAGGATAATGAGTGTATCATGTAATTTTCCAAAGCAAACATTTGTAAGGGAAACAGTATCCATTAACAGGTTAAATAAATTGCAGTTGTAGCAACAGAAATTTCCAGCAAGTTGTATTAGCATGGAAATAGCTTCGTGATGCAGAGCTCAGTGGAGAAATCTGGTTACCAAACATGTAGTTTGAGCTTTCTGATTCAGAGAATAACAAGAGATGGTATTTTTGATTATATACCTATGTTGGTAATTGCAGTTTCATATACTATGGATACATGAACACTTTCATAGCTAGCTAGTTAGCTAGATAGATGGGTAGATTACAAAGAGAAATGCAGAGACAAAGATGAATGGAACTGTTTTTCTTTGTTTTCAGTGTAATTTCAGCTACAGGGGAGAATGCATGAGGAACTAAAAGGTGAAAGAGTGAAAATAACAAGACGCTAAAATTTTACGTGCAGATTTTCACTCACTTCTAATATATGGTATATTGATGTTACATAATTATTTCATATTCAGCCCACAAATGAATGCCACACAAACTTTTCCTTACACTGTGAAAGAAACTTTGGTGCTCCATAAATGATATCACACAGTAGAGTCAATCTTGAATAGCTGACTTTAATAAATTAAACATTACATGAAGACGCTAGCAAAAAGTAGACATAAAACATGAATACATAGCCCTCCGAAACTCCTAAGATCTCCAAATTCAATGAGTTTTGTCCGCTCTAATTACCATTATGCAATGACATGTCACACACATAATTAACACAATCATATGAAACTGAAAAGAAAAAAGAAGATAAGTCTCTAGGTTAACAGCTGATTGCCATTTTATTCTATCAGCCAGTTTAACAGTAAAAAACAGGTATTTGTTTTGTGAAGAATGGAATCATATGGGTTTAAAGCATCGTTCAACAGTACCACTTGGTCAAAGTCAAGATAAAATTAGGGGAATCTGCGTTTCCTCTATCAATTTGTACTTGAGAATGATTTTTTGACTAACATTTAATTGCCCTTGCTTTATGAAATTTTCTGCATCTTAGTTCATGACTGAGGATCTGAGAGACTTGACTTTCCCACACCATAAGGGAATCCTGACCCAAATACATGTGTTCCGTTATAGGGAGGGGAGTTGAGGAAGAAGTGGAGAAAAGCACAGAATGCAAACCGCTTTTAAAAATCTAAATGTTCGTGTGAACATTTTGGCAGGTGATCACACTTGTGGAATGGAGTGCAAAGTACAGTTTGGAAACCTGAGTTCTAACTCTGAACTTCCAACCGTCATGAGAGATCAGCTTGTTCAACTGAAAAGGAAAGCGTTTGGACCAAGTTTATGAAACTGATAACAACTCTTTCAGATGGAGGTGTAACACACTAAGAACATACAATCATGAACTACCAACCAGAAATAGGCATTGCCTAGGCAACAGTGACACACTAGTTCCGATACAATTTAAAACAGGAAATAAGCCCCTATTTTTGTAGTGTGCTATAGCTACAAACCGCCATGATGTTGTTTCTAGGAGTAATTCACTAAGGTAACTTTACCTTCCTTTTGGTTTCAAATAACATAGCGTTTAAAATATTATGTAGCATCATCATTTTCTCAGTTATTAATTCCTTGTAAAAGTTGAAGCACTCATATTTAAACATATTAAGAATATGCTAAAGAAACATGTTTATAGCGCTTGAAAATATTCATTTAATCCTATTACTTTAAAATCTCGGCATTCTTCAAGTGATTAGTGCAATTTGTAAACTGCAAGTTTAGTATGGACCTTGATGGGCTGTTACTGTCCTTAACCTGCAAACATATTCCCTCACATTTCTTAATTAATAAACCTAAGAAATAAATAGCTATAGTGATACTTGATATTTGCTAAGGGAATATGGGCAGGTTACATCTCTTAAATACATAAGTATAATCAAGATAATACCACCAATCAAAATCTCCCCTTTGGATGTTAAGCAGTAAACAATTACACAGTACTATGTCCTCAACGTTTTCTCCAAAATCCAGCTCCGTGTTTTCAACAGAACAGATGACCGCTCTGGACTGGATGGTTTTACCACATTATTTGCAGCACGAAATAGTGTGTTATTTTTTACAGTAAAGACAAGCCATCATTCACATTTGAGGGAAACGATTTGGTTCTTTCCAAACACCTCAATACCTCGTTTCAACCCCATTAGAAGAAACCCTAAGAAATGTACTTAGTTTTCTTTTTAGGAGGACCTTATTGCAAGGCACCATTTTATTCTTGAGTGGTACAGCCTAGAGGGCCGGAGAGGCAGAGATTTCTACGCACAGGGGAAAAGCATCTAATGCCAAACAAACACCTTCCCCTAAACCAGCCTTCTCACACTCCAGAAGTGAAGGAAATGTGGGGCTCACGGTCGGAAGGAAATGGTGACAGCGTTAGGTCCTTACTATGTATCTTGTATTTTACATTAACTAACTAATCGCATTCATTTCTCACAGCAATCTCAGAGGTAAAAGCAGTAGGTCACTGAATAATAATACATAGGAAAATGATGAGAAGACCTAATTAAATATTTAATGTGAAATCTATAACGCCCACACACGTACTAATAATTTCACATTCCCCCAAATAGTGTACTTTTATTGCATACCCCTTTTTACTTTCCATATATATATGTGTGTGTGTATACATATATATGTATGGATGGATATATTTGGCTCTCAGCAGCTAATTCAATACAATAAGCACCTCAGGACCTGTCCTGTTAGGCAAGTGTTGGTCCTGTGCAGGACCAGAGATGAATGAGAGATGCTAACCCCCGTCATAACACATATCGCTGCTAATCATTCCCGTTGTATGAAGTGTCATCTTAGTTTAGGCAGCATAAAAAGCCATCTGGCTTTCTTCATGGGATGTCCCACATTTGTCTGCAGCATTGAGTATATTCTAAAGCGATCTGTGACATCCACCGCAGCTTGCCCGTGAGCTTAGCAAGGAGAGAGGTGAGTATGTGAAAACTCCTGAGTGACTGTCTCAAAGTTTGGCAACCTCTGAGTTTTCTGCCATTCTCCTACTACATATGGGATGTTGGAATGAATCCTGAAATCTTAAGAATTTTGTATTTCATTTTACAGACTTATTGACATCCACTATCTTTATTTGCCGCCCGTGTGCTTCTTGGGATGGTGGTTACTGGATAATAATACGTGATTTTAGGCTCTGAATTTCAGTGCATTTTTAAGGTTGCAATTATACAGAAATTTTGACAGCATTTACAGTTTTTGAGGTCATGTAGGGAGTGTGGAGAGCAGCACAAGGATTTGGAAGGGGTCAGCCTTGGTCAGCCAGACTTAGAGTTCTGACTCGATCTCAGCCACATGCTAGATGGATGGCAAGTTATTTAGTTTCTCTAGGCTTTGCTATTTTTCACCTGTAAAATGACCCTCAAGAGTTTTTATAAAGATGGGAGGAAATAACATTTGCAAAGGGTCCAGCGGGAATTATAAATCTAACAGGTGCTCAATAAACAGCAACTGCCTCGTCTCCTGGGTCACCCCTGCATGTCTGCACCGTGCAGTGGGCTGAAACACAACATCTTAACTGTGAGAGCAGCGAGGAAGCCGTGAACTAGATGCCCCAGGCCAAGGATGGGTTAATATGAAGACATGCAGAGATCAAGTAAGCATTCATTGAACATTTTCTATACATTCTTTTTCTCATACAGGTAAGCGTCTTTTAAATATAGGCTCTATAACTAGACAGGAGACAATAATAGAAGTAACTGTTTTTATGGCATTTGTCTGGAAAAACACAGTGCTCATGACCTTGAAGTTCTCAAGAATGTATCTTACTAAAATGCATTAATATAGCACTGCCATGACATTGATATCTATGGGTATCAGTGAAATAATCAACAAACCGAGATAAAGTTTAGAAACCTCAGAGGTGAGCTCATTATAAAGAGCCTATGATTGTCATGTGAGCTTAGGACAGATAAAATACACCCTTATTAAAGCATAAGGCATAATTCTTAAAAATGCTTTGCTGGTTAGATTTCTATTGAACTATGGCCTCTATGGACTGGAGTTGTAACTTGCACAGCGCAAATGCAGCTTTGAGCTAAAGATCAATTTTAGATGAAGTAACGTATGCAACTATTCATCTACAAGTGAGTCTCGAGGCACCTTCGGCTACAGATGCAATCATTTCTGGAATGATGATGGCATCTCATCGATGTCCTCCTCATTACTGGGAATGCTCAGACTTCAATAACAGGCAGAGAATTTAGTTGAACGTGAGCCTGGATCACACCACATTAAGAAATACCAGGACATGATAAAGCTTGACGCATTTAGGTGGGGAGAGTGCTCAGACTATAATCTCTTCCTATACAGCAGTGCATCTATAATTAAAAAAAAAAAAAGGTACTTTCACGGATTGAATCCCTAACTATATTTTTCATTGCCAGCAAGAAGCGTCTGGCAATTTATCAAAATAGATTCTTCTCTATATAACTGATTCAATAATGTTAAGCCCCCTGGCTAAAATATGCAAACTGGCAGATAGCTGAGTCATCTAAGAAGCGAAATGATCAGAACACTTTTGAGAATACAGTCCTGCTCGGCGGGCTCCACGGAGGAAGCGCCTCATTCTCCAGGAAGGAATGACGCTTCTGCTTCCGGTCAATTCTTTCTTGCCTTTCTTTTTTCTCCTGAAAAAAAATAGAAACGTATGTTTACACACAAACATGACATGAACCTCATTTTCAAATCAGGTTTGTTTTCTGAAGAACAGGAGTATTTCATTTTAAGATATTAATATATCATTTCCCAGTTCAATTGATTACAAAGGAAGAGGAGCTGGGAGGTACATGGATTTACAGGCATATTAATGTTACTTTATTTTTTGTCATACTAATGCTGATATTTAATTTTAAAAGATCTATAGTTTATTTTATTCATGTTTTTAAAAGATGTACTTATTTGTCTATTTGAAAGGCAGAGCAGTGGAGAGAGAGGGAGAGGTTGACCTTCCATCCACTGGTTTGCTGCCCAGTTGGCTTCAAAGGCCAGGGCTGGACCAGGAGGAAATGAGGTGCCAAAGACTTCTTATTCTCTCACATGGGGACGTGGGTCCGAGTACCTGGGCCGTCTCCCACTGCCTTCCAGGCATATGAGCAGAAAAGTGGATCTGAAGCAGTACAGCCAAGACACACATGGGATGTTAATGTCACAAGCATCGTTGGCTTGACTCACACCCGCACAGCACTGGTGCCCTCTTTTCAATGTTTATTTTCATCGACTTGGAAAGAGGAGTGATAGAGCAGGGGAGGACACACACACACACACACACACACACACACATCTACTTGTCCTTTCCCCAAATGCTCCCAGAAGTCAGGGCTGGTCCATCAAGAAGCCAAGGGTCCATAACTCCATCACTAGCCACCACCTGCTGCCTCTCCAGGTGCGTTAGCAGGGGATGCTGGATTGGAAATGTGGCTGCCAGGACTCAAGCTGCCACTCTGGTATGGCATACAGATGTTCCAAGGAGAAGCTTAGCCCACTGTGCCACAATGCCTGCCCCAGGCCTCTAGTTCTATAGCTGAAAGATGAGAGGAGCTAGAAACCCGTGACATCTTTCTAAGAACAGATATGCACCATTCGCACAGGACATTGCAATGGGAGACACTTCATGCTTTACAGGTAGTTGAACATTCGGAATCACGTTTGATCCACAAGCTTAAGCAGGAAACTGGGGTGTTTCATTAACAAATAATGCCTACCAGCCACTTTTCATATTCATCCATAGCTTGTTTGTCTTTGTCTTTCTTCTCGGCTCTTTTAAGTTCTTCCTTTTTTTTCTCATTTATTTTCTCTTTTTCCTTTTGTTTGAAGAATGCTTCCTTTTTTTCATTCCTACGTAAGATGGCACAAAACACAGAGGATGGTGAAAGGGGAACATACGATCCAGGTTCCCTAACGGAAATCTTCACTCTAATGAGACTGAGATGCACAGCTCAACATCAACCAAATCTATTTTTAAAAAACATAGGAAAAAATCATTGCTTTGAAATTTATGAAAAATATTACTGTGGACTACCATTTCTCAACAGCGGTTAAGTTATCTTTCTTTTTCTCGGCCACTGCTTCCTCCTCTTTCTGTTTCTTTGCTCTTTCGTATTCTTTCTCCTTTCTGTTTTTCTCTTTGAGGTATTCCATCTTCTTCTCTTTCCATTTTTCAAAAGCCTGAAAAAGTTCAGGATGCTTTTCTTACCGTGCGCATACACTGCGTATACACGACATGAGTAAAAGAGGCAGAGCAGACACTTTGTACTTCACAGAATTACAGTAGCGTATCTGTAATTTACATAGTGCTGTTTCCAGGTACCCCGACTGGATGTTACCAAATACATGCACTAAAATATCCTATGGCATCCCATAATCGTGTGGCATCAAGTGACTGTCAAAGATCTGTTCAAAAGAAGCAGACCAGAAGCTCTCTCAAGTACCTGTAGTGCTTCTCCTTTCCGGGCAGCGTTTTCCTCTTCCATTTTCTTTTTGTTTTTTTGCTCGAGCCTCTTTCTGGCGGCTACCTTCTTGGCTTCCTCTTCCTTCATGGCCTTCCAGGCCTCAAAGGACGCCAAGGATTCTTCTCGCTTGGCAGCCCTTCTCTGTTGTGGAAATCAGAACAAAGAAGCAACGCTCGAATGCATAAACAAGCAGGCCAACACACAGGTAAGAGCATACATATCTGTCCTAAAAATTCCCAGATATTTACCAAAAAAAAAACTGAGTTTCCTATCTGATGATTTATTTCGGTCATTTTAGACAAACGGGCTTAGAAGAAATGTCATCGTTGCATGTATTTTCTTTTTTTAAAGAAAAAGATTTGTTACTCGGAAATCAGAGCTACACAGAGAGGGGGAGACAGAGGAAGCTGCCATTCACTGCATCACAAGATTCGTGGCCGCAAGAATCACAGCTAGACTGATCTGATCTAGGAGCTTCCTGGAGCTTCCCGGGTCCCCCGCACTCGGGCCGTCCTTTGCGGCTTTCCCAGGCGTGTTATCACGGAGCTGGACAGCAAGTGGAGCAACTGGGACAGATGAAGGACTTTCTACATACCATCTAAAAATAGACTTATGATTGTTCACAGATATTAGATCGACGTTAAAGTCTGTGACACTTTTCACTTCTATGTTCCACAATACCTGTTCGTTTTGAATCCTCAAGTTTTCGCTTTCAATCCTTTTTATTCTGTGCATTTCATGTAAGTAGACATTTTTCTTTTCTAGCCATTCCTGTCATAAAAAGAAAAAACACCACATGATATTTCTTACTTATTTTTGACATAATGATTGATATTTAAAAAATACAAAATTTGTGCCTTTGTTATAAAGGCGACTTTTCTGGGGTTAAATCAAGAAAATTCTATTCCTGTTATCCTTATTTTTATTCACAAGGAACCTTAAAATTCAACATAATTGTACAATGTCAACTTTTTCCTGGAAATTTGCCTGTGTAATATTTTAAGGTATACTATTTTAGGTACCAGAAGAAAAAAAAAAGTCCTTCTTCTAGAATTCTGAGAAAATTCATAAACTTTTATAAGCCTTACAAAGTCTCAGGAAAGAAAAAATTATAAACTTTCTGTTTGTAATAATTTAAACTTCATAGAAAAAACATAAAAACATATACATATCTGATAAAGTTTGACTTCTGCTCAATTTTCATCAATAGTAGTAGCATGCTGTCTTTCTTTACACATAATCTATAATCAATGAAGGAAAGCATAGAAGACAATTATTTAATACAATTATTTTGGCTTGCTCATATGTTATAAAGAAAAATCCTTCCCAATGAAATTAAGTATTTATATTATCATATCTATTAAGGCAAGTTTTTTTTCTTATAGATTCATTTTATTCTTATTGGAAAGTCAGATCTACAGAATGAGGAGAGACAAAGATCTTCCATCTGATGGTTCACTCCCCAAGTGGCCAAAATGGCCAGAGCTGAGCTGATCTGAAGCCAGGAGCCTGGAGCCTCTTCCGGGTCTCCCATGCAGGTGCAGGGTCCCAAGGCTTTGGGCCATCCTAAAGTCCTTTCCCAGGCCACAAGCAGGGAGCTGAAAAGGGAAGTGGGGCCTCTGGGATTAGAACCAGCGTCCATATGGGATCCTGGCAAGTGTAATGCGAGGCGTTTAGCTGCTAGGCTACTGCACTGGGCCCACTAGGAGGGTTTTTCTACTCTGTGAGAGCCAGGTAGCCTTACAGAAATTGTTGGTTCTATTTAAAAGAATATTCCTTCCACCTGATACACAGCTGCTCTTATGTGGTCCGCTCTGTCGGGTTCCAGACTTGGCTTCTGTGGAGGCTTTTGGTCCAAAACTTTCAAAGTCCCTAAATACTGAGATGAGGTAGTTGCTGAAGGACTTCTCCTTGCAGAACTAGATTTCTTCAAAAACTCAGAAGTCATCAATCTGAAAAGATGCGAACAAACCAAGATAAAACACTACAATCGCATTTAATAGAAGAGGGATCTATTACAAATGCAAGTTACTATATTTGAAAAGTTTTTGTTAGTGCACTGAATTACAAGATGTTGATAAAACATGAAGGGTCTTCAAAACATTTATGGAAAATGAATATGATGAAAAAAACTATGCATGCGTTTGGTACCCAAAGAAACTTGCTTTTAATTTTATCTTTCTAGTTACTTTTTCAAATATTGAGCCTCCCTGTATAATCATTTCTTTATAATTTTATTTTTTTATTTGAAAAGATAAAGTGATAGAAAGAGAAATTCCATCAGCTGGCCCACTTCCTAAATGCCTGCCATAGTTGGGGAGGGGCTGGACAGAAACCGGGAGCCAGGAGATCTGTCTGTGCCTCTGCAGTGGGTGGCGGGGGACCAAGCATTTGGGCCATCCCATGCTGGGTCCCATAATCATTAACAAGAAGCTGGATTGGAGGTGGACAAGCTGGAACATGAACTAATGCTCCAACACAAGGTGCTGCCACTGCAGTCAGAGACTTAACACACTGCACTACAATGGTGGTCTATATCACCTTTTCTTCGAATATATAAAAAATGAAACATCAAAATAATTCAAATTTTATAACTGTAGTTTATATAACTTGAAACAATGCTTCTCTTTAGTATGTGTTAATTAGAAAAATAGATGGATCTGTAGCCACTGGATAATGGTGTCCATCACACATGAGAAAGATGATTCTCTCAGAATAAGAGAGAATCAGTCACAGAATGCAGGGGTGGTGTAACAAATGCCAGTCAATAAATGTGAAATATTACAAGCAAACTGAAGAGTAGAAAACCATGTCATTATCTCAGTCCATGCAGAAAACTTCAAGTACATGATAAAAACTTTAGGCCTAGAATAATCCATGTGGAGACAAACACAACAGATTCCAAACAGTTAATGCAATCTTAAGCAACAAAAACAAAGCCGGAGGCATCACAATACCAAACTTAAAGACATCACAGAGGGCTGTAATGATCAAAATAGGCCGGAATAAAAATAGACACGTATACCAGTGGTATGGTAACCAATCTTTGACAAATCAGCTGAAATCTGTCCCTGGAAGGACCGTCTCTTTCACAAATGTTGTTGAGAACATGTTGTTTATACACGCAAGTATGGAACAGGAGCCTTGCCATGTTCTACAAATAATGAACTCACAATGAATCAAGCATCAAAATCTATGACCCGATGCCATCTACAGGAAGCCATCAGGGAAACTGCAAGACATTGGCGCAAAGACTTCTTGGAAATTCCTCAGAGACACGGGCAACAAAAGCAAAACCACACAAATTCTCAAGCCAGGAAGCCTCTGTAATGCAAAGAAAATGCGCAAGGAGACAAAGAGGAAACTGACTCATGGGAAAAAATATTTGTAAACTGCACGTCTGATCATGGATTATTATCTAGAATATACAAGGAACTCAAGGAACTCAGCAACAACAAAACAAACAATCCAGTGAAGCGATGGGTTCAGCACACAAACAGGCATTTTTCAAAGGATGAAATACAAACGGCCAACGGACACATGAAAAGATGCTCAGCTCCTCCAAGAATCAGGCAAATGTGAATCCAAAGCACAATGAGTGTTCATCCCATCCCAGTTGGAACTTACACACACACACACACAAACACACAAAATCGATAAATGCTGGTAGGGAGAGGAGGAACACGGACCCTAGTATGCTCTTGGTGGGAATATAAGCTAGTACAGCCACTAGGGAAGTCGGTGTGGAGATTCCCCAGAAATCTGAAAGCAGATCGAGCATAGGCCCCTGCCATCCTACTCCTGGGAATTTATTCAAAACACAATGAAATCAGCATTTAAGTCATTGGTAGGCCGATGCTTGCTGCAGCTCAGTTCACAACAACTAAGATGTGGAATCAATCCAGATACTTATTGATTTAGGACTGGATAAAGGAAATGTGGAATAAATATACTGTGGAATTCTATTGAGCCAAAAAAAAAAAAAAGAGAGAGAGAATGTTTTACAACAAGACAGAAGTAACTAGAAACCATTATTCTTAGTAAAATCAACTAGTCCTAAATTGACAAACACAATATATCCTCTCTGATATGTGGTGGTTAATACAGAATACAAAAAAAAAAAAAAAAAGGATAGTAACACAATTTTCAGTTACTTTATTATGATTAGCTGCTGTTAAACTCCTGTAGTGCTGCGGTTCTTCTACTTGCTGAATTTTGCTGTTAGTGGTGCAGCAAGCCTGTGATTATACAGTGGATTTAAATTATGTTGTTGCAAAAATTAATAAACAAAAGAAAGGAAAGAAGGAGGGGCACTCAAGGAGGGAAATACAGTAGTCTTAGAACTGCCCCTGTGAATACGTGAATTCTGCTCTCTTTATATTAATAACTCTCTTTTTACAGAAGAAACATAGATCCTGTCTCAAGTTACAGGAGAAACAATATTAATAAAGCCAGAGTTAATCACTTTTTACATCTGTTATTAATAGTATATTTTTTAAAAAGACTATTTTGAGCCATTCTCAATGTGGAGTTTGAAAGCTCAGTCAGTGGACTCCTTGTCAGTGGCAGGTGGGAAAACCTGGCCTATCATGCGTTTTTGCAGCTGGTCAATGCATCAGAGCTACACTCCTTTCTTTACAGACCAACTGGAGGCGTCTCTCAGCTGCCACCGCTGACCAGTGTGGTTACAAGGAGATCGGCCTGTGTCACCTACATGACTAAGCTGTGGACTTACCATCCATCTACAGACAAAAATCGGCTGGCCTGACCTAACACTCACTTCATTTATGACAAAAGAGGCAGAACGTTTTGATTGGCATTTAGGAGTTGGCAGTTTCATTGGCATGGATGAAGAGACTTGGATTCTTTTGAATAAGCTCACACACGCACCTAGAAGAGCTGAAGACTTTGAAGTCTAATGTTTTGTATGTTGCACAGGGATGCTTAATAGAAGTAAGTAGACTTTGGTTTCACTTCCACTAGGAATCTACTGCCCCAGGAAGCAGGGATGGGTACAGACTTGCTAGTCACTGACCTCAGAGAACAAGCAAAATGTCCATGGTTATCTCAGGGAACACACGAATTACATAAACGGTCCAGATATAAAAATAACTCACCATAAATTCTTTTTGTGAAAGAATATAGTCAATGGAAGGCTTTTATTGTTCATCTCTTAAGATGGACATAAAGAAAAAAAAACAAGTAACATGAAAGTAAATTGCTTGTATGTATTTAAACGTCAGCCAGCTTTCTGAGAATACAGATCCCTCATGAGGGACAGTGATAACTTTAGTACCTGCCGGATGCGCTGGAGACTCTATTATTTGTTGTCCTTTTATTCTTCATGTTTCTTTCTTCAACTGTTTTCTGTGGAACAGAAAATACCATGGAACGATCTGTTAGATTTCAGTGACTCCATCAGTATCTTGGTCTGTGTTTTATGACAACACAATAGCAACTAGGGACAGACCAATGAATAAAATGTCCTCAAGGCTATTCCATTTAGGAGAGGGCTGGCCAACAATACACATACTAAGACAGTGAGTCATGGAGATAAGGTGGTGCACAGTGGCTGAATGGCTAGAGGGAGCCTGAGGGTACCACATAGCGAAGCTGGGTCTGGGAAGGCCTCCCTGGACTGACATCAGAGCTGAGCATGGATGAGTGGGAGGGGTCCCGTGAATGTCTATGAGAAGAAACATAAAGTTCAAAGAGCCTAAGAGGGGAAAGACCTGGTGCTGAGGCACGGTGGGTGTGAGCAGAGCACAGGGGGTGAGGGGCATGTACTTGGTCAGAGAATCACATGGGGTTACCAGGTGGTGGTACAGTCCAGATTTTATTCTCATGATGAAAAAACATCCTTTTAAGAGAGGAGTGATTTGACTAGGACTTGGGAAATATCATTCAAGAGAAGTAACAATTAGGTCAAAATGCTACTCAAAAGAAATAAAAAGAGTTCAATAGCTTCATGGAAAAACAGAATTAAAAGAGGTTTATTTTGGTTGCAAACTTTCAGATCAGCTCAGCTCCAGCTGTTGCGTCCACCTGGGCAGTAAATCAGAGGATAGGAGATCTTTCTCTCTGTTTTTCCTCCTCCAATATAAACAAATACATCTTTAATAAATGACAATGACATATCATCTCAATATACTGAAATGGCTATAATCTGAAAAGTCAAACACTGGCTAGAATATAGAAAAAAAAAAAAACAGAACCCTAACACACAGTTGGGGGAATGCATATTAATAGAGCCACTATGGAAACCAGCGTGGGGATTCCTCAAGCAATTAACGATGTATCTACCCTATGTCCAAGCTATCTCACTTCTGGGAGTATAAGCAAAGTGAATGACGCCACTCTACTAAACAGATGCCCGAACTTCCAAATTCATTACTGTCCAGTTCACAACAGCCAAGATACAAAATCAGCTTAGATGTTGGGTGAAGGAAGAAGGACATGTCTAAAATATAGACGATGGAACACTCAGACATAAAAAATAATAAAGCTCCCGATACTTACAATGAAATATGGAACTGGACAGAAATAGACACAGAAAAACACATTCCCCTTGGTTTTTCCTACAATTGTAGCTTGACGTAAAGAAACACTAGAAACAGTAAAAAGAATCAGAGAAAAATCGTGCATATTCCCCATTACTTGGTATGTATTTATAAATGTTGTATTCACCGAATTACACCTCTTGCATAATAAAATACCAGTCTTTCTTCACATTATGGTCTTTTAGGTGAATTCTATATTATATGTTTTCCATGTTCTCAAGAGAAACAAAAAGTAAAGCAAGAAAATATTTATTACGTATATACCTTTGAAATTTTTTTCTTGAGACCATGGGCTTCCTTATACTTAGCATAAATCTTCCCTGAAGTTAAACATTCATTGGAATTGAAGTAAAAATCTATGATTCTTACTAAAAGATGAATTTTCCACAGGTAATTCAGAATGATATAAATATGAAAGGTGAAGTATTTAAAATGTGTGTTAAGTTTGCAGTGATAGCACAGTGCAGCATAAACATAGAGATACCTTTGTAGATTCCGATGTGTCGTTGGCTGTGACGGCACTCCGCGATTTCAACAGCAATGGATCGGCTGCTGCACTGTCGTCTGTCGTCACTCCAGCTTTCTCCCTTGCTTCTTCAAGGCCATCAGCAGCCACATGGCTTTCCTTGGGCTTCTCCGGTGCAGAACTAACAGAGTCCACCCATAAGGAATGCTCTTCATTTGCATTTGATTTCAACGAAGTGTAGTTTTCAGTGAATTCTTCATTCTCATCTACTTGGAGACAAGAGTCACAGCACTAAGACTCTCTTCTGGATCAATCAGGTAGCTTGTTTTAAATGGAACCAGCTTTCAGCTTTCTTTTTCTTGTATAATGCAATATAGTCAGTTCTTAGTATCTGTAGATTATATATCTATGAACTCCAGCAATTTCATACCAAAGATATTTTTATAATGCATCTGTCCCTAACATATTAGACTCTTTTTCTTGTCCTAAAGCACTGGAATATAGCAACTATTTAGAAGGCAATTACAGCGTTGTAGGTATTGGAAGTACTCTGGAGAGTACTAAAGTATTCAGAAAAATGTGCATATGTTATGTGCAAATACCATGCCATTTAAAATAAGAGATTTTAGTATCCGCAGATTTTTTTTTTAGCTTCCAAAGGGTCTTAGAAGCAATTCCCCACGGATACTAAGACTATATAAAACACATCATCATATTGAACTTGGATCAATCAAAAAAAAAAAGCTACTCTTAACTAAGCCCTTGAAACACCTTATACTAAGGAAAAAAAGCATATTAATATATATAATAAAACCACCAACCACTTGCAAAACAAGCTACATGGGAAGACTTTGTTGATGTGTTAACCTGTGAAGTGAGATGGATGTTAAATGTTTAGTTTGCAAGCTTATGTGCCTCTGAATGGAGCAATGGGCATGTAAGCACGAGGCTGTGTCAGCTGCGGTGACTAGCAGTACACCGGCGGATTTGCACAGACGCAAGAGAACCGAGCATTAACACAACTGCACTGGGGGAATAAAGTCAGCCTCCTGTGACCTCCGACTCCCACCCTGAGACACCAGTGGAGTGCAAACAACAGGTCACTTACTTTTCTCGGTGCTCAAGTCTGCCGTAAGAGGCTTCCATCTTACCGGCTCGTAACTGCTTCTCTTAATTCTGCTGCATTCTTATTTCTGTGTTTTGTTTGAGGTAGGCTCAGTCCTAAATCAGTTGATTCTTACAGTGATGCATTCACACTGAGGCAGTGACTGCAAGTGCACTCGTTACTGAGTTTCAGAGCCAAAGCTTCTAATGACGGCTCCATCACTGAAGTTGGGAATGTTTCCCAACACCTTTGCACTTCAGTTTTTCTCATCTATAAAATGGTAGAAATACTACCACATAGTAAGCACTCGAGCAGTGTCTGTTACACAGCTCACCTCTGATGGCTTTCTCGTTAAGCTACATGGCGCATCCCTAAGAAGCAGTGCTATGAAGTCACACCTCACACTTACCATGTGTTTGCTATGACACTGTTCGAAGTGCTCTAGGAGGCATTATTCATTCATTCAATTCTCACCACCATCGCAGGAGGTAGATTACTCCTACTTAAAGAACCACAGACCAGGCCAAAGAGGTTGGCTACTTTGCTTGGACAGTTGCGCTCGGATTCAAGCCTAAGTGTGGTCTCACTTTAAAATTGTTGCGTTGCAATCTACTGTAGCGACATACGTATCATGACAGTTTCCCTTCAATGATCATTGCGCCTTCACCAAGAACTGCATGATGGCTAACAGGTGCTGTATCAATTAGCTTCTGCAACAATGCACAGAAAGGCATAGTCTATAACCTGGGGAAACTGAGGCACTGAGAGATGACAAGGGCATTTATAGTGATATAGTCAATGAATTGTACCACTGGGATTAAAATTCAGACACAAGCGCTCATTCTCCTTACAAATAGGGAAGGTATAAATTACCTTACAGACAGAATTCTAAGCAATACAGACATCACAAAAAGATAAAATGGCTAGATAGCACTACCTTTTACGGACGACTTTTCCCCAGGTTCTGGTGAATAGGAATTGCCAAGACTTTCCTTAAGGGATGATGGAGATAGACTTGTGACATTTTGGTCCTGTTTAAAAAAAAATAAGTATTCACCACCTGAGTTCAGTTTTCATGATTGGCAGAGGCGATGCCAATAGATTCGGAATAGAAACCTTGTTTCTATATTGTACTTTCTCTGAAACTGGATACATCTTACAATCACTAGGATGCTGTGGCTTTGCTGGAAGAGTTTTCTTCTTTCCTAATAGTACTTAAAACAAGGCTACATCTTACAACCGAAGTTTTAACACCATGGAATACAGAGTTTTTTTTTTTTAAATCTCAATCTATTTCCTTATCAGCTGCTGAAGAAAACATGTAAAATCCACATAAGCACAAATTCTCTCTCTCTTTCACAAACACACACAAACACAAAGGAAGGAATTCAAGAATACAAAAGACATGCTAACCTCAGGGTGACTGCTTTCCGCTTTCTTCTCAGCTTCTAATTTTGGGTCAGTTAGCCGTGGTGCGGGAGATGGTGCCAGCTGACCATGGAATTCTTGACTGGGGGAGGTTTCTTTTTCTTCTGGCCTATCTTTCTCCTCTCTGTAGCTATTCTTTTTTAACATGCTCCTTGGCCGAGGTAAAGGTTTAAAGTGCTCATCTGTTTCAAGGCTGCTGTTTTCCGCTGAAAAGGAAAATGTTATAAGTCCACAGTACCCACCAAGGCCCTGGCTTCAGCTGCTCCCCGGGGTGGGGGGCTCCAAAGTTCCCTTCTGCTCAATGTCCCTCGTGTTTCTGTCCTGCAGAGCTGACGGAAGACCATGATCCCTGGCTACACAGGGCTCCAACAGAGCACAAGTGCTTGGGAGTACATACTACAACAAAGAGATAGTTGCCGTGTGGACAGCAGCTGCTATGCTTCGGGTGGACACCTTTCAACTTGATGATCTTCATGGTGTCCCAGACATTTGAGAAAACCAAAAGAGAACGAAATCTTGTCTCAGTTGACATCTATAGTACAAGGGGTGGGGAGCGGGGGACTCCTCCAAGCATTTATTGAACACCTGCTAACAAGCCCTGCGGAAGGACTTTACAGGTTGGGAAGTGGGAGGATTCTGAACAGACAGGACAAAGTCCACAAGTGTGAAGGCAGGGGAACTGGCACGTGGTGGCACAGAAGCACCCCTTTGTAGCTGCAGGAAGAACTGCACAGCCTGATCATTTGTGAGCATCTTTATCTGAGTCCACAAAAACTTCCACAGCCGATATTTTCAGCTACTATTTAGTTCTAAGTTTAAAACAGGATCTGTTGGTTGTGCTTTGGGGTCCAGCTCCCAATGCACTGATTTTCATTTTTGATTTTTTTTTCTTGTCTTACCAAACATGCCAGAACTCTTACAGACATTTCAAACACATGAACTCATTTAGCTATCTAAAACTCTTGGTGATGCTTCAACGTTCATCTCTGTTTCACAGAGGAAGAAAATGCACAAGAGGTTTTTTCCACAAGGTCACCAAGTCTAATAGGTTGCAGATTTCGGATTAAAGCAGAAACGCCTGACTTTTAAAGTTCATGACTCTAGTGGTTTTAATATTAAAACAAAAACAGCCTGCCCTGCAATCATTACCCCAGTGACCCTTACTCCAAAAAAAGGGAAGGGATTTGCTCACTGCATTTTTTTTTTTTAAACAACAGACAAGCAGGAACAGAGAAAACGGTGACTCAGCAGATGCAAGATCTCTGACTCTCACTCTGTCCTTATGCCTCTCGAATAAACAAACAAAACCACACTTGATACTCAGAAGTATCTTATCACACTACAAATATTGAGTTCCAAATACTATACGGGAAAAAAAAAAACCAACTCTAAGGAGTTTGAGTATAAACTTGGAAACCAATTTTGAATCTTTCAGAAATGAATTGTTCATCAGCTCCTTAATGAATTCTATAGCACAGGTCTTAGAACCAGCAACCTGTATTTTCAATTTCCACCTTGAGGAACCTGGGGGATAATAACTTTGATATAAATTACAATGAAACTCCATATTCAGAATTATTGTCAAATTTATCACAGCATTTTTTTTTAAGTACTAAAGAAGTAAACTGCCTGTTTATCTCCCACACATTTCCAGCTACACACTGCCATGTGTCTCTGGACACTCTTCTTCTTTACATCTACAGAGTTGCAGAACTAGACCTGACACTTTCCCCTTTAAATATAGTCTAGCTAGCTACCATACCATACAAAACACCATACAAAGTATTTTGTGCATATGATACTAAGACAGTCTTCAAGAAACAATTACATTACCCAAACAAGTTACCTGAGGATGTGCTTTTGATGGAAAGAATTCTGGGTTTAGGTTTCACTTTGTCTCTTTCAATTTCTTGATATTTGTTTTGAGAGTCAAATAAGGAATTTTCAACCACATCTTCACAACTGTTGTGTGCTGTTGCCTCATCATTTTTGTCCGTGAATTCTGGCTTTTCTTTGCTGATGTCATTGCTGGATTTCTTGGTTTTCAGAAAAGACAGCCTTGGAGCATTCTTTTCTTCCTCGTCTGATATGTGAAAATCATTTATTTTCTTCTTCTTAACTGAGTTTTCTTCTGCTGAGGTATCAGAAATGTTGCCTAAAGAAACTGAAAAAACAGGAAAGAAAAAAAAAGTGTTTTCAATAGTTATTTTCACTTGACAGGTTACAATGATCAAAAAAAAAAGCAAGATTATTGTAAAGAACAGAAAGAAGTGAAAAAAATGTACAGACATGAATAGGTGCAAGTCTGTTTTATAGTTCTTCAAGATCCCTAAACAATCAAGTTTTCAGCATGTATAATATAAACACTTCCATGTCATTCATTTACTCAAAATAAACCAAGCGTTAAGCGTAATGTTTGCTCTAAGAAACACGTCACAAAAGTTGCACAAAATAATTGTCATCCATGAGACATTTCAACTGAAGCTCGGAGTGAAAAAACTTTCTTCCCAAGTAACTGCATAAAATGTTCAGCGATTATAAATGAACTCTCTTTCCTCTATAAAAATGTTGGCTCTATGCTTCTATTCATACCAAATAATATTTTTTAAAAATAGAACAATCATAAAGAATTCCAACTTCACTACCTAGCAGTGAGTTAATCACTGTTCTGATTATTTGTTCCAGAGAATATACACAAGCTGCTGTTGAACAGTAACGAGGAGAAAACTGAATTTCAGGTTCAGAATTTTGCGTATTTATATCTAAACTCTAAGATGTTAAGCTTACAAAACAAAATGAAATGGAATGGAATGGAATTAATATCGCAGTGATAGATGCAATACGGATTTGTAGTGTACACTGAGCCACAATTACAGACAAAACATGTGATGTGTAACAAGAATTTCAAAAGTGCTTCCAATCCCCAAGGTGATTTTGTGGGCCCCTGCCTACCAACCAGTTCAGGGCTCTCAATTGTCAAGATGAACCAAAGCACAGCCATCTTGTATTTACACACTGACTGTCAGTGAGTTTGTAATTCAAACAGCAGTCAGTTACACAAATTCTTGTAAAGCAAAGTGGCTTTCTATGCGGTGAAAACCTTGACATTTAAAGCTGATCTAGTCCATGGGTGTTATTGTTCGCGCAGATGATGGCCGGGGTGCAAAATTGAAAACAAAGAAGACGCACGGTGTGCCTTCCGTACCGATCTCCTCGCTGTCAAAGTCGTCCGAGTACTCGGAACTCCGCTGCCTGGCTGAGCGAGCTGTGATGGCCCTTAGCAGCTCATCCTGAAAAGAAATCAAGCAAATCAATGCTCATCCCATGTGGAGGTCTCAACGTCAGAATACTGACACCAATAATACATGCTTAAGAACTGTTTTTAAATACAGGCTTCATTGATGTAATGAACATCTGCTGGAAGCCTGTTTTTGTGCCGTGTATCCACGCCCTCAGACTCGGTGTGGCATGTCACAGCCGGGAGCCTGTAATTAAACTGGAGGAGACAATATCAAACACATTAACTGCAGCTCACACGGCTAATGAACGTGGGAGAGTTACGATGCCGGAGTACTCAGTTTTGATGGAATTTATTAGCCACTGGCATTTTGAAAGGAACTGGTAATTTTCTGAAAGATGATTTCAAAAGTAGAGTGAGAGAAGGATGGGAGGAATGAGAGAGAGACACACAAAGGGAGAGAGAGAGAGAGAGAGAGAGAGATTGATTCTATCCACTGAGTCACACTCCCCAAATGCCTGTGCCAAGCAGGGCCGGGCCAGGCTGCAGTAAGGAATCAGAAACTTCACACAGGTCTCTCACATGAGTAGCAGGAATCCGGATGCTTGGGCCTGCACCTGCTGCCTCCCGGGGTACACTTTGCTAGGAGCAGAGAAGCGTGGACTCAGCAGGCACCCTGACACACAGCATGTGGGCCTGCACCTGCAAGGCTCACCCTCTGCCTGGAAATGACGATCTCTTCAACATTTACATTCTGGCAAATTCCTGGAGCAGAAGCAATCACTACCAGACATGACTACTAGACATGAACCAGCTGATGGGAATGCTCCACCTCTCTAACATTCAAATGAATTCAACTGTTTTAACCTTGACTTTCCTAAGGACTTCATATCCAGGCTACGTAAAAAACGTAAGATTTCTTCATACTTCACATACCCTCACCAAATCCTCCTGTCCTGTCACGCCACTTCCCTTGTAAATATGATGCAAGTACTTTACCTGGAAACTTGTTCTTTTGGTAACTTTTGGACTCTTTGTATACGCCAAAGTTGTGCTAAAAACTTCATCAGTCATAGCGTTATCTTTTATCTCTCTCTCTCTCTTTGCCGTTACACACCAGCTAATAAATGATCCGAAGAATTCAACCTCTGATAGTGGCTGAAAGACACAGAAAGCAAGTCAGACTTGCAAAAAGCAAGCATCTCAGCAACAGTGACCTGAACGCATAAACAGAGTCCTTGCAAAGAAACGTCAGAAGAGTGCCAGCAGCTCGTCTTCAAGGAAAACTCCAACATCCGTTAACAATTCTGCGGCTACTTAGGGATGAGCAAATCAAACTACTGCGATGGATTCATAGAACAAATTCACCCCCCCCCCACACACACACACACTGCTCGCATACTGCCGCATTCCAAGAAAAAAAACATCATTATGCTAATGCACAGCTAACGAGATTTTTCCAAGCCACTTGCAAAGTAATGCAAACAAAGCACAACCAGCTTTCGCCACGGGCTGCGCTGAACGTCCCTATCTGGCAGGTGGGAGTTAGAGCACACAGCTTAAAGACCCGGGCCCCGGGCGCGCCTTCCACCCGCAGCAGCGCGCGCCCAGCCGGCCGCTGCCCGCGGGGCCAGGTAGCTGCACCCGGGGTCCCCGCCGGCTTCTCAGGGAGCGAGGAAGCCCAGCACACAGCAGGCCCATGCATAACCCCGGCAGGCCCATGCATACCCCGCCGCAGTAACCGCCGCGTTCCCAGCGGCGGGCTCCCCGCAACCAAGCAGCTGGCTTCGGACAGGAGCCTCCCGCAGTGTCCCGGCCTAGCAGCGCTCGGACACCCAGCACTGACCTGAGCCAGGGGGCGGGACTAGACACGGAGGTGGGAGGCTGTTGCTAGGAAACAGCGTCTCTGGGAGGAAGTGACTTCCCCACCGCCGAGTCTCCTGGGTACCCAACACCACCCGTCAGCCGAACGCGTCACTGGGGCAACCTCCCACAATGAGGAAGTGACATCAGCGCTCTGCGGCTAGGGAGAGGGGTGCTTCATCACTTCCCGGGGTGCCCCTGCAGTTGCCTAGGCGACAGCGCCAGCCTGGCTCCCTCCTGGGCCCGGCACCTTAAGGGTCTGCCACAGTTTGGACTGCAAGTTCTGTGTCAGTGGATGGGACATGATGAGGTTTGCAAACCTCACACCTGCAGGTGCAGTGCAAATTCGCCTCTTCGGGCTGTTTGTAAATAACCAGGAGAGAACAGGAGAGGCCACGGCAGAGGCTCAGAATGCTGGCTGAGATGGTACGGGTAGAATGCTTGGAGACTTGTCTGGGATGGTATTCAATGGATGCCAGGCATGCTACTGATGCAAGGAAGCCGCAAAGGGCCTGCAGTCATTCCTTGCAGTCGAAAATTCCTTTCCCATGCTGCCTTAAGATAAAGCCCTCACCTTTGTATACTTAGTGAATCATCTGTTGGAAGCAGGAAGCTAGTCATCCAAGAAAATCATTTAAGAAGTTTCTGGAGGGCTTTTAGGTTGCTCAAAGCCCCAAAGTCAGCATCCGCGAGTTAGCGTAGGAAATGCTTAAATAAAAACAAAAGCTCTTGTCTGAACTGAAGGCACACTGCGGGAGAGGTAACATAACAAGATGTTTCACTCTCTTTAATTTTATAAAGAGCTTAAATGGAATTAGGGTGTCCGAATGAATTCACTGATGAGCAATTAAACTTGTACCCCCGGGGTATTCTAATCCAGATTTCCACAAACTATTGATACTTCATCAGCAAACATGTATACCATGTGGAGCACGTGGAAGCTGAAAATAAAGAACCTAACTCCTAGATTTTAGCGGATGTAGTGTCGTTGCCTCCGTAAGTTCATGTTTCATAGAGAGGCGGATGTCACTGAGCTACCACCCAGTGAGCAGGAGATTGGGGCTGGGAGGGTGGGGAGAGACGGTGGCTTTCCATATGTAGGAATAGCTGAGACACGATTCTTCCTCACAATGTCCCTTGCCTCACCTGTGCCCAGCAGAGTACGTTGGACATCGGATAAAGATGTAAAGGGGATGAAGTACAGACTGAGTCGTTCAGGCATGTCATAAAGTGCATTACAAAGAGGAAAACCTCACGGATGGCAGTTCTTAGACTGTCCCCATCCAGCAAAGATGCAGCGTTGGAAGAGAATCAGAACCGTGCCTCGACAGGTGCATCAACCCGTAGCTTTGCCAAATGAGAAGTTCTATAAACACACGAGTTAAAGGAGGGAGATACCAGGAACTCGAGGAAAGGGATCCGGTTAAAAATGTAGTTTCTGACTTGTGAGGAGTAACCTGGGCATTGTTATGCAAAGCTAACGTTGTACACTGTTTTTTGGGCTGCTGTGTAGAGACAGAATTATTACACAGCACGGAGGTTGTCATTTTGAGCAATCCAGCTTTGTAATCAGGATACCATTCTAGGTTAGATGCTTTACGGACAGGTGGAACTCAGCCGGATGCCACTTCTAGTACCTGCACCATGCTAAATACACTGGGTCCAGTACGGTTCTTTGTGCTTTACTCTTATTATTTCATTTTTTAAAACAGAAACTGATGAAATTTGTACTCTTTATAGCCACATTTTATGAGTGAGATAGAGAAAGAACTGAAAAAGGAATTACACGTATGAACCCGCAGGACCAGGATTTGACCCAAACAATGTCAGAGCCACTGCTCTTTAATAGTCCCTGTTGTAGACTTTCTAGAAACTTCCATGCCCAAATCCCCAACCTATTAGCATGGTTCCTTGTAAATCAAAAAGAGATTTCAAATAGGGAGATTCTCCAGTGTAATTTGGACAGGAGGAGAAGAGTGAGAGATGTCACAACAGTGAAAGCAAAGGCAGGAGTGGTGCGGGGCCCTGGCAAAGGAATCCAGGCAGCCTGTTAGGAACTGGACAGCACTGGAAATTGATGCTGCCCTGTTTATTTAGATTGTAGCATTTTATCTGGTGCTTTCTTTTTTTAAGATTTTACTTTTTGAATTTTGCAAAATGCAGCCCAATGGTGATTTCATTGTAAAGAGACATTCCTCTCTGCAATGTCCAGAGCCCAACTTGGACTAGTGAGAAGAAACAAATAAAGGCTTATTTTGGTTTAGCATTGCACTCCTGCGAGGGGGTCTTTATGTCGATTGTCTTCTTGGAGAAGCAAATTTCCAAAAGGGACAAAGCAATCTCATTGCATGCATTTATCAGAAAGTTCCAGAAGGTGGCAGCAAGACATCAAGCTTTCGGAGATGAGGCAGCGTCATTACCATTTGGGGGTCATCATTCATTTTATTTGGATTGATTGATTTATGATTAACTGATTTATTCAAGTAGTATATGAATTGCTTTCTTACTATATTTGGTATGGTTTGTAAATTTTTCCTTTGTGGTCATCATGAGGTTTGTAAAAGTATGTTTTGGTTATAACAACACATAAACTTAAATGATAGCAATTTAACCCAGGTCTGTGAACAGGCTCAAGCTTGGGACCCGAATTAGGGGCTATTACAGTGACACCTGTTTTTTTTCTGTTTAATAACATGAAGTGCTGTGTGTTTATTTTAATTGCAGAGATCAAATGAGACTTCTTTAGGTTCCCAACCTTCTGACCCACATCATCAGTAAGCTATCTCTAAAGATTGCTGTGGGCTCCTTCTTTCTGCAGGCTACTGCTTGGACTTTGATGTCAACACCACAGAACCGGTGTTCACACTGTGTGTGGAGATTAATTGCTGCTACTTAACCTCCGGCACTTTCAGATCCCATTCTCCCTCAGCGAAATCATTAAATACATTTTGAGGTATTACTTCCATATAAATACTGACCTTCAAAGAACCAGCTTTGAGAATTTCAAGGATATGAGAGCTCCCTGCCTCAACATATGTTTTACTGCTACTTAGGAATTATCACACAGTTTAGATTTTAAAAATTGCACATAATAAAACTACTCTAATATTTCCATCTTCTTATTCTTTGGACTGACTATTTGTTTGGAATTTGCAAAGTTCCAGGATATCATATTTCTTAATATACAACACTGTTAAAGCCCACTGCATTAGCAGACAACTAAGTTAACTATTTGAGCCACTCTGAAATACTAGAGCTAGCACAATAGTGGGCATTTGGTAAGTGCATCCAATTAGTAATTCCTGCCTTACACAATGTTAAGTTAATGCCTCTCCAGTTTAACCCCGTAGGGGCTGTTCCCACAAACATTTCTCAGGTTTGTGTTGAAATTAATTTGGGGTTATACAGTGTTTTTTTTGTGTGTGTGTGTCCTTGCTTTTACTTTCACATGCTTTTTATTCACATGGGGCATGCTGATGTCTAGCTAGTTATGCCTGTAGAGAAAATATGAAGTACGGAAATATGAATATTGCCTCAAGATGCTGGCATGGTATAGTACAGGCTAATTCTCTGGCACACTGGCATCCATATGAGCACCAGTTTGTGTCCTGGCTGTACATTTTCAATCCAGCTCCCTGCTAACATGTCTGGGAAGGCTATTGGTAGGCTATTGGTGATAAGATATCTTCTGTGGGAAAAATTAACAACAACAAAAAAACCCACAAAAACTGCCTTTCAATTATTTGGTATTTTATGAGTTCAAGAGTCTAATGCAGTGCCATTTAAGATCTTTAAAATAGTTTAAAATGTATTTGAGAGCCAAAGAGGCAGAAAGGGAGAAAAACTCCCATGCTGTCACTGGTTCATTGTCCAAATTCCCATAATGACAAGGATTACCAAAGTTGACAAGTCAAATTAGGTCTCCTACATGGCTGGCAGGGACCCAACTACTTGACTTATCACCACTGACTTCCGGTCTACAGTATCAGGATGCTGGAGACAAGAGCTGGAGCTGGGATTCCAAAAGAATCATTCTATAAAACTAAGTACAATAGAAATATGCTTTAAAAAAAAACATAAAAAGTAGTAGCACAGGGCCAAAGTTTTACAAAGTTTTACATTTTCCTTAATTATTGTGTATTACGTAGTACCAGTCGGACAAGCAATTTGTTATAATAGGCAGGTAGAGAAGACGTAAGAATTACAGACTT